AAGGTACTTGGCATGACTGACAGTCAATCCTTCCAGAGTATAAAAAAAAAGAGAAAAGTAAAAAACAAACAAATGGTATGGTTTGCTCAGACTCAATCCGCGATGAGGTACTGAGCATCTAGCAAAGCAACAGCGCGCAGGCAAACCGTGATGGCGGAGGAGAAAATGACAGCAGTCTGTTTAAAAAAATTTAAATTTAATTAAATTTAAAAATTTAAAAGCCCCTGCCACTCCACTCATATTTTCATTCGCAAAGTTTCCAGGGCTCTGAGGTCGCGTTTGCCCCAAGTGTTCATTTCTGGCCGTCGATCTTCGTAATCTACAGTCAGAAACGATTCGATTTGATCGTCGACTCCGCAGGTACGTCGAGGACCGCGTCCCCGCAGTCCTGGCTGGCAGGATCAAACAATGGCTGCTACTTACCTGAGAAAAAAGGGAGAAAAAAAACAAAAAAAACACTTTGCAAATTTTGCATCCTGCGGACCAACAAGCGTGGCCCATGGCCATGTAGCCCTTTCTGCAAATTTTGCACTACAATCTTGCCGGAGTAATGTGGAATCAGCAGTATCCCCGATGAGCCTCTGTTTGCCCAGGACCCAGGACTACCGAACTGTGTCATCAGGCCGGCCGGCTAGCGGCCGTCTGCCAGTTGTTGGTCCGGTAGGTGGAAACTCACCGTGGGCCCGTGTTGGCCAGCGCGGGTCAGGGGGGCTCAAATCCCCAGGCTCAAATCCCCACGTACTTGTGATTTACGCTTGCCACGCACTGGATACGGTTAAGGCTGTACCAAACTGTGTGAAAGTCGTTAAGGCTGTACCAAACTGTGTGAAAGTGGTTAAGGCTGTACCAAACTGTGGTTAAGGCTGGATACGGTTAAGGCTGTACCAAAAAGTGGTTAATGCTCCGCACCTCGCATCGGGAAATGCCAATGAAAGCTTCATGCTCGACACCGTGTGCTGGTAGTTCACGCTGACCCTAGTGCAAACCAAGGTTCATCCCATCCCAGCCAAACTCGACACAACGCTCATGCTTGAACACAGCGGACTGGGACGAGGTTGATGCTACAATAATCTCTCTCTAGATCTAATCAATCTATTTATACATCACAAAGATCTCAATTCGAAGCTATCTGAAAATTTTGTAAAGGTAAGAAAAAGAAGAAAACAGTGGTTTTGTTGGCCTCAGCGGTTGAACAGGGAACGGATCTAAACCAAATTCCAAGCCAGGTTCCAAACCTGGTCGGGGGTACCAGGCTGGAGCACCGAGTTGTGTTTTCTGATTTGAGCAAGCATGGGTCGGGGGTACAAGGCTGCTTTAGGGCCTTGGTTATTTGGCGCCCCCCCTTTCGTTTCGAGAATTTTGATATGGGACTGGCACACGTCCTCTGCGCGGATCTGACTCGGGTAGACCGAGAACGAGTTAGTACCACTTAGTACCTTCTAGTGCCATCTAGGATTCTAGGATTAGCTAAGTTAAAACTCATATAAGTTGAGCTACGGCGACTCGTTTCTCATCTCCGTCGCATAGACCCCTGACGATTCCGGCTCTGGCGGCTGGATGAAACATGTAGGGTCGCCCGCCAGAAGCTCGGACAGGACTTTGACGACTACGAGCTGTTGCGCTCATTTTCGGTTCGAGCCATTCGGGCAGGTTGTTCTATTCAATATACTATGGTGCCCTCGCGCTCGGGAGAAACTTTGTCGTGTCGCTCAACTCCCTCTTCTGTCGTTCTCTGTAGTTGATCTCTTGCTGTTAACTTCCTCTTCTGTCGTTCTCTGTGGTTGATCTCTTGCTGTCCTATTATGTTGATTCGTCATCTTGCATGATGCTGCTTCACTGAAGATACTTGGTTAATCTCACCAAACCAGGTTCCAAGCCTGGTTCCAAACCAGGTTCCAAGCCTGGTTCCAAGCCTGGTTCTATCAACAAACCTGGTGGTACAGGCAGACCACATCCAGGGCCAGCGGACCACAAAGACCTTCCTGAGACCCGTTGCTGCAGGAGCAGCGCACAAATTATGAGGTATTGCAGACTTGCAGTTATGGGACTGGGTGGGACAGGTCATGGGACGACTGGCCCAATGGGAAAACACTGAACAGGTGGGTGGGTGGCCATGAACAAGGTTGATATCAAACCCTGACTGTTATTTTTCCCAGTGAAAAAAGCCAAGAAGATATATCATCGTGAAGTGACCCAGCATACAATCAATCAGTGACAGCTGGCGCACAAAGTGCAAGCCCGCCGCCGACATGCGGTTAGGGAACACAGTCGACGACAACCCTGCATGTTTTTTTTTTTTCTGCAAAGAAAAGAAATAAATGTTGAACAAAAAGTATGATGATATGATGAACTGTAAAAATAAAATAAAATAAAAAAAATAATAATAAAAAAAAAAAAGACATGATGTCATGATGATGAATTAGTGAGCGAGCGTAACGTGTGGTGTGTCACGGGCCTACAGATTTTTAATTTCCAGTGACCCACAACAGCAGCGACAACAAAGAGGGGAAGCGACAACAAAGGGGGGAAGCGACAACAAGAGGGGATTTTGCACAAGAACGTCAACGCAGAAGCAAGCTTCTGAGTGCAGCATCAGAGTAAGAAAGCAGCGACAACAAGGGGGGGAAGCGACAACAAGAGGGGATTTTGCACAAGAACAGAAGCAAGCTTCTGAGTGCAGCATCAGAGTAAGAAAAGAACCGGGGGGGGTGGGGGGGGAGAAGGGAAAGAAAGAAAGAAGCCAAATTTGAGGCGCTCTATATATAACCTAAAGCGAGGAAAAAGAGGGGGGCAAGCATGAAATGGTCCAAATTGAAAAAAAAAAAAAAAAG